CGGCGGGTGCAGGACGTCATCAGCCCCATCGTGTTTGAAGCTGCCTACAGCCTGGGAGAGCACGTGACAAACAAGGAGGAGAAGGAGCTGCCGGCCCTGACCCCCGTGCTCCGCTGGAAAAAGGGGCAGAAGATCGCCCAGAAGAATCAGGTCAGCCCTGTACTGCTCACAGCTGGAAACCGTCAGCCTGGTGGCATAGATGGCAGAAATAATGGAGAGAGAGAGAGAGAGGGAGAGAGAGAGAGAGAGAGAGAGAGAGAGAGAGAGAGAGACGGAAACTCGGGCTGCCTGCCGCGGGAGGCCATGCCTTTCCTCTGGACTTCTCGTTCCTCATTTGCAAAATGATGAATTATGTGATAGGGTGTGTGTGAAGTGTGTAAGGGAATGGGGTGGGGGGACTTCAACAGAATGGAGGCTCTCCTCTGTCACATAGAAAGGGAGAATGCCCTTACGGGTGGGACCCGGCTGTATCCCCCATTCCAGAACTGTGTCCAGAGCTTTGCTTGGCTCCAAGTAGGTGCCCAGTAAAGGTTGCATTGGTGGGCACGAGGAATGGGTGGTTGAGTTAGAACTGACCAATGCCCACCTCCCTGGAGCCTGAACACTGATCATACCAGGAGACATTGCTGACCATGGCAGGAGCTAGGGGGGATGGAGTGTGTGTGTGTGTGTGTGTGTGTGTGTGTGTGTGTGTGTGTGTGTGTGTAGGGGGGGCTTTGGAACAGTGTGTGTATTGCCCTGTGAGGCTGTTCAGCAGAGCTGGCAGTGGCAGTGATTGTCTGCACCCTGTTGGCTGCTCCATGGAAAACAGGCAGGTGATCTGGGCTCCTGAGGCAGCTTGAAATCTTGGCTCACCACCCCAACATCACCACAGATGCAGGGCCCTGGGTGAGGTTAGGAAGAACAGTTTTGGGGGCTAACCCAGCCTCCTGTGTGAGGGAGGGGGCTATGCTGTGGAACCCTCTCTCTGGCTCTCTGAGCTTTGGGGGACATGAATCAATTAATGTCAACAAAGGCATTGAAAAGGGTTGAACATCCCGGATGTCTTGTAACTAGTGAGATTTTTACTAGGGTAGCCCCAATTTCTCCCCTAGTTTCCACTGTCCTGTTCTTAGGTCAGGTCTGAGATGGGAACTTGGTTCACATGGTCAAACAAGGCTGCCTTCTGCAGGGAGGTTAAGGAAGGAGGAGAGGGCTAAGCAGGGCTGTGGTCTCGGCTGATATCCAGCCCTGGCCCAGGTCTGGGACTCTGGAGCATTATAATGATGACCCATAGTCGTCCTTCTCTGAAGTACTTCTAGGGTGCATTGGAGGGCAGTGTCCACTCAGCATGGACAGTCCCATGCAGCAGAGGCCCAAGCAGCTATCAACCATGGCATGAGCTGTGGGCAGGAGAGGGTTCCAGGCAAGGCCAAGTTCCCACTCCACACTTAACTGTGCCCACTCATTGGATACTTGTTTTGAGTTCAAACATAAACGTTTTTTAAAAATTTTTTATTAGTGAATCACCATGAGGTACAGTTACAGACTTACAAACTTTCATGCTTGTGTTTCAGCTATACAATGATCAAGTACTCATTCCAACACCAGTGCCCATCCTCCACCACCAATGGTCCCAGCATCCCTCCCATCACCCCCACCTCATCCCCTCTACTTATCCTGCCTCTGTGGCAAACATGAACTCTTCCAACCATGAATAGCCTGAAGGGGTCAGCTGGCCCACTGGTCACTGCTGCCTGGAAGAGACTCCAGCTGAGTGAAGGAGACTTGGAGCCGGGAGGTCATACTGGGTGCAAAGTGGGTGTGTGAAACAGAAGGACTGGCCCATGGGTTAGGGTGGGAGGAAGCGTGAGGAGAGAAGGGGCAGAGGGGGAAAGATGAGGGGAAGAGGCAGGGCAGAAAGCTGATAAGTTTCACAGAGGCTCAGAGGAAGTTAGTATCATCTCCAGACAGTGACAAAGGACACAGGTCAGTCTGGGGGCTCCATAGAGCAGCCCCGGGGAAAGTCAGGGAGGTAGAGAAATGGGAGTTAAAATGCTGTTCTGGTCACTTCCTGTCCAAGATGGCAACCATGCACTAAGATTAATGTCTGTGCCCAAGATCTCATGGCAGTGATTAGAAAAGTGTGAATAATAGTCGTGAGGCCCGGGGAAGAGGCATTCACTGCTAAGGAGACCAGCGCGGTGAGTCAAGGAGATAGAAGAATGTAGGGGTAGGGGGAGAGCCTTGCTCTGACAGGTGCCAGGGAAGCAGTATACTCTCTGAAGCAGTATCCCAGTGAGACAGCCAGGCAGCTGCTTCCCCATCATGGATCTCAATTCCTGGGGCTTCTGGAACTTCCAGTATAAGAGCTGACACCCCTTCCCACCATCTGCCCAGACACATTCACAGATTTTCCAGTCTTCCCTTTTACTTATTCTGAAATGGGAATGAAAAACCAAGGAAATCTGATATTAAGGGGAAATGTGGTACATGGAGGGGGGAAAAAGGGTCAAAATAAACCAAGAAGAATGACTTAGAAAGTAAATCATTCAGGGAGTAGAAATTACTGCAAACCTTTAGAAGCCACCTTAGACGCCATGTAATAAATACAGGAGTTTGGGGCAGATCGATAGTACAGTGGGTACTGCCTTGTATGTGGCCGACCCAGGTTCCATTCCTGACATCCCATATGGTTCCTGAAGCCCTGCCAGGAGAGATCCCTGAGTGCAGAGCCAGGAGTAACCTCTGAGCACTTCCAGATAGGCTCCAAAAACAAACTAAATAAATATAAGGAGTGTGATGACTCTATTTCATCCATTAGAAATGGTTGGAATTTTTTTCTTTAACAGGAAGAATCAGGGAAGAAGAAACAGGTTCGTGAAAATTAGCAGGGTAGTTGCTTCCACATTTAATGGAAAGATGAGAAGATGACAGTAAGAAACCACCAGTCAGCAACATGGACAGCTAACAGAAAAGGGAATTAAAGTATTGATTCTCGTCGTCCCCCACTGGAGTGGCAGGAAAGCCAGAAAAAGAAAACAGAGAAAATGGACAACAAGGAGAGATAGCAGAACACAATTTCCAAGAGTTAGCGACATTAATTTTGGGGGTGATTCTCAGGAGGTTCTGGGGATTCTCAGCCAGCTAGGTTGCCAACCAGGTTGACAGTCAAAACAAAGGCTTAAGGATGAGGTGCCAGGAGGCCTTGTGGTGCTGTGAGTTACCTGGGACACACCCAGTGGTGCTTGAGTTACCATTCAGTACTGCAACTGAATTGGAGATGACCTTTTGCAGGCAGGACATGCACCATAAGGGCTGGAGGGAGAGCACAGGAAGTATGTGTGTATATGATATATGCCTTAACTCCTATACTATGTCTGTGGCCCTGCTTTATTTTTTAAATCTAAAGGATTCACCAGATTACAAGCGAGCCAAATTGAAAATGTGCTAGATTCATCATTTTGAAACATCACTAATCCTGAGGCTTAGGGAAAGTCTAAACACTTTCCAACAGGGAGTACTATAAGTGGGGGGTTCTTTATCAGCTTCTGATAGAACTGAAGTCATAACAAGTAGGGGTCCTTATCAGCTTGAGAACTGGGATATGGTGAGAGAGGAGTTCAGTGTTCCTAGAGAAAGAGATTTTGAAACGAGAATTTATACTTAACCTAACATTGAAGTATGAGGTCAGAATACTTCTCAGACAAGCAAGGACCCAGGAAGTTGCTCTGAAAATAAGCCTTTTATGGAGCTGCATGCCAACAAAGAAGAGTGACAACCAGAAGGAGCAAGATGTAGAGAGTAAGGACCTGTGGAACTTTCAGAAGTCTAATGACAAAGGCCTAGAGCTGTGCGGACAGTTTACAAAATGATCAGCCAGTTGAGAACTTTAAACAGAACAATGTGAGCAGTAGACAGAATGCCAAGAAAGCAGCAAATGTGTAGGATATGGTTTCAGTATATTAGAGAATAAAGGCCATCACTAACTCCTAGGAAAGTAGAAATGAGATCAGTCTGTCTTAGTTCAAATATAGGAGAGCTTGGAGCCAGAGAGATAGTACAGGGGTTAAGGCTATACTCTGGTTCCATCCCCAACACCACACATGTGCTCCCCTCCCCCAACCAAGCACTGCTTAGAGTGACTGCTGGGCATAGAGCCAGGAGTAAACCCTGAGCACCGCTGGGTGTGGCCCCCACCCAAGTATGAAAATTTAGATATCATGATATTTTGAGCAAATAGATGAGTCCCAGAGAAGTGCACTTGGTTACAAATATTTCCCCTTAAGGCAAAGCTCAGTGTCTGCGAGTTTGATTTTACACTGCAGAGAGAACTCTGTGATAGATGTAGCCCCAGTAACATTAGTGCTGTTCATTGGTTGCCCATGTGTATCAATTCAGAGCTGTGGTAGGAGTACAAAATGTGGATGTCACTAGTTTGGACTGTTGAGAGGTAAAACTAGAATTACAGAACTTCTCTGAATATCTTATTATCTTCTTCTAGTAAGACAAGCAATATTGTGAAACTTGCTACAAACAAATTACTTAATACAAAATTGCAGAGGGTACCAATAGATAAGCATGTCTTACCGTGGTCACTAGACCGGTAGCATCAGCCTCCCTGGAAGCACATCTTAGAACCCATTCCCAAGCCACAAATCAGAAACTCCTGGGATATGTCCAGCAGTCTGTAATTGACAAGCTGGCCAGGTGATTCTAAGGTAGTGTATATTGAAGAAGCATCATCTTGCCTCTCAAAATCAGGAAGGCAGAGGAGAGAGAACTGTTGTACAAGTGAGATAAATTCTTGTCTAGTAAGGCAAGAGTCCATTAAGGTACTACCTAGGTCAGATAAATCAAGAAGTAGTCATATCAGGGGTCAGAGAGATAGTGCAGGGGTTAAGGCATCTGCCGTGTATGCGGCCAAACCCCATTTAATCTCTGGCATTACATGGTCCCTCAAGTACCCCAGGGTGTGGCCCTGCTCACACCCAGCCCTCACTGCCCAAGTACGGCTGGTCTCATGGGTCATTCACCAGCAGCAACACGTTTTCAGACGCTGGCATTGACCCACTGGTCCAGTTGACTGAGAATCTCTGGCAAGGGCCCCTGGGCACCTAGAGCACCACTTCAGACCCCCTCCAAAAGAAGAAAGAACCAAGGCATTGGAT